CCACCAACTAACGGTAAAAAGCATATCACGCCTACGGGATCCCCACGCAAAGGGGTGGGATTAATCTTCCCAGGAAAAGGGCAATACCTCACTCACACTCCTCATGATAGTCAGTATCGATCCCGTGACTTCTAGCTTCAAAGGGAGTTTCCAGTTTTACTATGAAGTCAACAGTTGGCTCCATAGTGGAGCCAACCTTCTATATACAAGTAAATCATACCATATTAATAAAATTATTAGTGTTATTTAAGTAATCATTTATTTAAATAACACTAATAATTTTATTAATATAATATGATTTACTTGTTGTATATAGAAGATTGGCTCCATTATGGAGCCAATTGTCGACTTCATAGCAAAACCGTCCCTTTGGAATATCCTCACACTAGATTCGGTCATTTGACTTCTGGATACGGTTGCTACTAGTCGGTCTCTTTGTTGTATATGTGTGTTCTGTTTTATTTATAAAATCCAATCGATTTAAATTAAAAAAAAAAAAAAGAAAAAGCATCAACTATAATTATAACTATCTCCACATTACACATATCACGATTCAAGATTCCTCTTGAGAGCAAACTGAACAAATGTGTTCCAGAACACATCCAATGGTCCCATAATTCATTCACAAAAAATGTAATACAGAGAACACGTGATTTATTAATGCCATTCAACAATACATGAGATGAATTTATTATTGCCATTGACCAATAACGAGAAATAAGAAACCCATCAGACAAAACAATCAATCAAGAACCAAGAACCAAAACAATAAACCCATCAAACGAAACTACGCCCAAAGCAAACAAAATTAAAAGCTTAACTTAAACCTTTGCAAATGTTGGAAAATCAATAATAATAGCTCGACACACTCAGTTCCTAACACCATAACTAGAATTTATTCGAACACAATCAAAGAGTCATCTCCAGTCAAAACTCAAACAGATCATCAAACATATCAACATTAGCAGGGATAGGCTGACCCGAGCAAGGCATCTGCCACGGCTCGAGCATGACATCAGGAATATGTGGAACATCATATGCCAACTCACTCACCTCAGAGACAACCTTAATCACGGAATTCAACGAGTGGAGGCGATCAGCGAGTTCAGACACTCGAGCCCTCAGCACATTATTCTCGGAAGCAAAATTGATGTAAAGCTGTGTTGCCCCATCGATCATTTGTCTCATCTTCTTGCTTTCATCCTGCAGCTGACCCACTTGGGCAACGAGCTCGTCCAAATGCTGTTGTTTTCTCATCCGGGACCTACGGGCCGATTCCCGATTGGAAAGCTTCCTCTTTTGCTTGCGTTCATCCAGGTCGGAGCTCGAGCTAGCCGGTTGTGGTTTTGAAGACATTTTGATTTCGGGACGAATTTGGGTGTTCGGAATTGTTATATTACGGTCGAACTAGTGGATATGGATCGTGAATTGGGGAAGAAATTAGGGTTAGGGTTTCGGATGATGGAATTGGGGTAGCTCATGAAAACACATAGAACCAGTAAAGAAATACAACTGAGAAGGAGTGGAGGATCCTAATCCGGCGCATCAAAACGGAGAGCGTCATATAAAATTAAACATGGAAATGGATTTTTGAGATTTCAATAATCTGCCTGTGTTGAGAATTATCTGTAG